TGCGGTGCGCGCGTTATCTCGTTCTCGCTTTTCGCGGCGTTCCTCTCAGATCCCGAGATTTAACTCTTCTTCCTTGGGCTGAGGCGAGAAAGTGGGCAAGTTATCTTCTGAGTTGGAGTCCCTTTCCCGAAAAGGCATCTATCTCCCACGTCCCTAAACAGCAACGTGCGAAACTTAAGGTGCGTATTGGCAGGGCGGAGAGTCTCTAGCGCAAACCTAATTTCTACACTCTGTGCAGTTATCTGCTGACGGATGGTACTTCAGGGAATTGATACCATTTCGACTGGTTTTTAAATAAAAGGAATTTCCGTCCAGAAGAGTAAGTAGGAGCAAGAGACTTAGAGCCCATTCCCTCGAAGACTGCCACCGAAGCCATTTGCGTCCCCATTTCAGACAAGCAAAGGATACAGCTCTTCCGAACCACAGAATTCAGGCTGTCGAGGGCAAGGAATTTTCCAGCACAATTAATGATGATGAATAATTACGGAATGCTTACTATGGGTGAGCAACACAATTAACTCAACCTCTCAAAATCGGAAAGGTACTGTCCTAGTTGAGAGATGCTATGAGACACTAAAAACTTGTAGTGAAAAAACGAATTGCTCCAGGGCGTTTCCTGAAGGAGTATAGCCATTAAAAAAGAAGAAAAATCTCAGCTAGGCAACGGTAACTCACTAGGTACTCAGGAATTTTTTTTTAAAAAAATCGGTTGTGGAACTTAACTCAGGGCCTGGGCACTGTCATTGAGCGTTTCCCCTCAAGGCTAGTGCTTTACCCACGTTGAGCCACATTCTTACTTCCGATTTTCTGGTGGTTAGTTGGAGATAAGTGTTATGGACTTTCTTGCCGGGGCTAGCTTGGAAACATGATCTGATCTCAGCCTCCTGAGTAAGCTAGGAGTACAGGCGTAAGCCACGAGTGCTCAGCCAGGAGGCCAAGTCTTGAGGATCAAATTCCAGGCTAGCCATAGCAGGAAAAATCTGTAATAATCTTATCTTCAACTAACAACCAAAAAAAAAAAAAAAAATCAGTAGTGGAGCAGTGGCTTAAATGGTAGCCTTGGGCACAAAAGCTCAGGGACAGCACCCAGGACCTGCACACACACAAACATATTTCACCTCAGAACTTGTGCAAGTCTATCTGGAGAACACAGCAAATTCCTGGTTGTTCTACAACGGGGTGTTACAAGCTGGGTTATTTTAAGATTTAAGACACATCAGGAGCTGGGAAGGTAGCTCAGTGGTAGGGCGCTTGTCTTGCATGCATGAGGCCCTGGGTTCGATTCCCTAGCAACCATATAAGCAAAAAGAAAAAAAGCCAGAAGTGGCACTGTGGCTCAAGTGGTAGAGCGCTAGCCTTGAGCTGAAGAGCTGAGGGACAGCATCCAGGCCCAGAGTTCAGGCCCCACAACCGGACCCCCAAAAAAAGAAAAGACATCAGGGGCTGGGAAGGTGGCTCAGTTGTAGAGCACTTGCCTTGCATGCATGAGGACCTGGGTGCGATTCCTCAGCACCACATAAGAAAAAGCCAGAATTGGCACTGTGGCTCAAGTGGTAGAGTGCTAGCCTTGAGCTGAAGAGCTGAGGGATAGCGCCCAGGCTGAGTTCAGGCCCACGACCAGCATAAAAAACACAAAAAAACAAAACTATCAGTCTTGTCCTCTGGGGGCTTGTATTAAACACTGAACCAATAGTGTTATGAGTTGGGGTAATCTGAGCTATGAGAATATTAAAAAACTTAAGTTTAAGCTAATATTTGATAACCATGTGAAGAAAACGAGGCAGTACTCAGGCACAAATATCATGTTATGAAACCCAGTGCTTTCACAGGCAGCTTTTGGGAAACTGTAACCTTAAGTCTAAAGAGGTAGGGGAAAAACGTCTTGAGGTTGTAAATGCAGTGGGACAAGCAGTCAAACACCTGAGATTCAAGACTTAGAGCTTGCTGTCAGATTTTGAAAAAATTTTCTGCATCCATGGAGAAGACAGTAGTCAACTGAAGATGGTTTAATACTAACCTATATAAAAATGCACACCCTGAAAACCAAACTTAAGGACAATGTGATGAGTGAAGATGAAGACTAAATACAGTATTTCAAGACATTGGTAACGCATTTCCAGTTTAGTGGGGGAAGTGGGCTGAGTACCCAATGTAGTAGAAATGGGCTGTTATGCTATGAACCATTATTCCCAGGTCTCAGCCTTCTTTCTGCATAGCTAGGGTTTCAGGAATGTCCACAGTGATTAAGTTTAACTGCAACCCCAGTGTACATGATATAGGCTTGAAGGCATTTAGGTTTCAAGAATTGCCCCAAAGTGAGATTTGAGCTGGCTTTAGGAGCTAAAAGTTTAAGAGGGGACCTTAAAGTTTACTAATCTTAATCTAATTTCCATTTGAAATACCATGTGCTCTGTATTTCTATTGGCTAAATGTCTTCAACTCTAGAGTGTGTCAGTCAAATCTTACTTCTCAAATGTTTCCAGAAGGCTATGCCATCTCTGACTGCAAAGAAAAGTCACTTTTTCAGCAAATCATCACGTACACTAACAAAGGCCCAAAGGAAAACTAAATGTGATGGGGCACTAAGAAACATGGCCATTGGGGCTGGGATGGTGCCTCAGTGGTAGAGCGCTTGCCTTGCATGCCTGAGGCCCTGGGTTTGATTCCTCAGCACCATATAAGTAAAAAGACAAAAACCGGAAAGTGGTGCTGTGGCTCAAGTGGTAGAGCACTAGCCTTGAGCTGAAGAGCTGAGGGACAGAGTCAGGCCCCATGACTGGACCCAAAAAAAAAAACCACAAAAAATCTGGCTGTGAGATACATCAAGCACTTTATTGACACTTGGGTTACTTGTAAGTAGGTGGGATGCTCCTAAAAATCTTCAAAGCCAATTTCTGATGAGACTGTGAAAGGTTTAAGGTAAAGTTTAACTCACCTAAATGATGGATTTTTAATTACAAGGTAGTAACTCTGGACCTGAGTTGAGTCCCTGGTTGAATATGGAGGGCAAAATCCCTTAAAACCTTCAACTGGTGAATATACTGTTATACTACCAATAATACATTTTTTTGTGTGGTGCCTGAGATCAAATACAGGGTATCACCCATGGATTGCAAGTGCTCTACCTTTGTTATATCCCTAGATTATTTTTGAAACTGCAATTCGTTAATGGTCTGAATAACAGGCCTGAGACCAATAATTTTACATTTAGCAGTTAATACGTATGGAGATACTTTGTGCCACACTCCCAAAATCCCATAATTGGGAAAAAAGTTTGCCTATGATCTAGCAGCTAGTAACATTAAGGGAACCTTTTGCTTTTCAGTTTAAGTACGTGTTTTAGTAAAGACAATTCAATAGCATGCCCATATTTTTGCTAAAATTCACAAGACTGACTTGTATGTAGTACCTCCCATTGAAGCACGCCTTTTCCGTGTATAGTGGAATGTTTGGTTCTTTTCTTTTTTGGGTCCGGTCTTGGGGCCTGAACTCTACCCCTCAGCTCTTCAGCTTAAGGCTAGCACTTTACCACTTGAGCCACAGCACCACTTCCAGCTTTTTCTTCTTATATGGTGCTGAGGACTCGAACCCAGGGACTCATGCATGCAAGGCAAGTGCTCTACCACTGAGCCACCTTCCCAGACCTGATTCTTTAACTTTATCTTGCTCACATTATTTTCTTGAAGGTCACTGAGCTTGTTATTATCTTAAATTACATTAGACAATCAAAGCAGAGAAGGGATTCTTGCATGTATGCCATAGCTGGCCTCACGTCATTAACCTTAGAAGTGGAGGTATAAACTAAGCAGCAGAGCACTAGTTCTGAGCTGAAAAATCCAAGAGGCTCTGAGTTACATTTCCCTAAACTGACACAACTATGATCCTTCCAAACAGATAGGATTACAAGGGTAAACTATTAGTTCTGGCAGCACAAAACATTAACACCCCAAGGATCATTAACTAGAGATGATCAAGCAATAGATCAAACCTTGAACTAGTCTTTAGGCAACTTGATTAATATATGACTTATGAAGGTAGTTCAGTATAAATCTTTCTAAACAGCACTTATGAGAAAGATGTTGCTAAGATTTTTTTGTGTGTATGTGCATGTGTGCCAATGCTAGGGTTTAAACTCAAGGCTTTGGTGTTGTCTTTTAGCTTTTTCATTCAACACTTGTGCCATTCCACTTGAACCAGACTTCCACTTAGACCTTTTTGGTGACTAATTGGTTTCCTGGACTTTTCTGCAGAGGCTGGATTCAACCTGAAGCCATTAAATCTCAGCCTTCTGAGTAGCTAGGATTAGCGGTGTGAGCCACGGCTGCCTGGCTTTAAGCAGAGATTTTAAAGCATTACATTTGTTAGTTCACTGAAACTGCTTTCTAGCAATTTGATAGTTCCAGTAACTGGGGCTGGCCATAAAGCCCTAATTAAGCACAAGACTCACAGAAATAATTTTCACTACTTTAGGTCCTAATTAGTTCCTCTTGGCAGGTTGTTTTCCTTTGTGTGAATTCCTAGGCACTTAGTCTTGTTTTCTGTCCCTTTGGGTTTTGCAGAATTATCCCCCCCGGGCTTTATTCTCCTTGATTGAAATTTGAGACCTGATCCAAAATTTCAATGTAATTTTTTGAATTAAAAAAAAAAAACAAAAACAAAACCTAGAGTAAGCAGCGCTGGTGGCTCACGCCTATAATCCTAGCTGCTCAGGAGGCTGAGATCTGAGGATCATGGTTCAAAAAGCCAGCCCGTGCAGGAAGTCTGAGACTCTTATCCCCAATAAACCAATAGAAAAACAGAAATGGTGCTGTGGCTCAAGCAGTAGAGTGCTTGCCTTGAGCTGAAGAGTGCAGGGACAGTGCCCAGGCCCTGAGTTCAAGCCCCACAACCAACCAAAAAACAAAAAAACGTAGAGCAGCAGGATGGAATACTGGAACTGAAAAAGAGTAGAGCAAGTGGGGACCAGGAGGCTCAAGGCTTAAGACTCATCAGCACATGAGTACCAGGCAAACTTATTTATTTGGTTTAGTACAAGGAAGGTCACTATAGATCAAAACAGGCTATACATGTAGAAAACAAGGTCTTAACGTATTTTGATATTACAGTCATTGACATAAAAAGACAGAGTTTGTGTACCCACTGTTAACTGACACCAAACAGGGCTGTGACTTAGACATTTATCTCAACTTTCATAGGGTCCAGTTGTCAGTCTTCTGAGCACTGGTGAGGTAGCAGCCCAACCTCTTAACCCTTTCCTAGTTTTAATGCTCAGCTTCTGAGTTCCCTACATAACCAGTAACCAAAAAAGGGGGTGGGGGCACTGAGAATAGTACTTATTAGTTAGTCCCCAACTTACCTTTAATATTTTCCCCCCTCACAAAATGAGGGTTCTTTCGTTAACTTCTGTCTATGACAGCTCGGCAGCTTGTATATCCTGCCAATCTAATTGTTTCCATCACAGCACAGTATGGGAAAAGAATGATAGAGAAAAGGTAGTGATGACTTTAAAGCTACTTTGGGTGTTTTGTGTTAATATTTTTGCTAATACGGTTTTGTACTTGCTTGGCTTGCACTCTACCACCTGACCCATGTTTCCAGGCTGATCTTTGGTAGGTGTTTTGGAGATGAGAATCTTGAGGACTTCTGTTTGAGTTGGCTTCAAATGATTATCCTTTGGATGTGCTAGGATTACAGATGTGAACCACTTGACCCCAAATAAATGTCTTCTTACATTTCTTCTTAGACTCACCAGGGCATAAGTTCCTTTGCTTAAAAAAAAAAAAAATCAAGTCAATTAAGAAATCCTATTAAATCTCATGATTATACTACTAAAACCAACACAGACAAGGACAGGGACACACACAGAGCAAAGTAGCAACATGGAGCCTCTATCATAGTAGTAGCCCTACTGTGGTCAAAAGGCAATCTGCTCACTTAATACAGTAGATTAAATGGTATAGAGGAGTTGTAAAGTGGGAAGTCATGGCCATGAGTTTAATCCCTAAACAAAAAAGGTACCACCAACAAAATTACCCTACAGGCTTTTATGACAAAACCATTTCTAAGGACACTATGATCAAACGCTCTGTAGTAGCTAAAATTTGAAGACTGCTTTTTCGTAAGTGGAAAAACCAGGTATGATAGCTCAGGTATGATAGCTGTTGTAATCCTAGTGACATGATAGCATTTGTTTTCTCAGCTACCATAGGAAGCAGAAAAATAGCACTGAATTCCAGGCTACCCAGAGGAAAAAGGAAGGCTCAAGGGTTGAATTTCACTCTATAAACAGGGGTTGGCAAAGGCCACAGGCAAATTCGAACATGCTGCCCTGTTTCTAATGGCCCCTGAAAACAGAATTTTAAAAAGATTTTCATTTTTAAATTATAAAGATGACAGAAGGGTTAGTTATGTAAGTTGGGATGTCATCCCTTTCCTTATGGTTTCCCTCCCATTACCCCCTTTAAGGTGTATAGTTCATTTTTAACAGTTTCTACTGAGTATCAGTGCTGTATTTGCTCACTCTTTGGCCCTCCGTTTCTGCCCCCATTGTCCTCCCAAAGGCAGGTAACTATACACACTAGACAAAAAAAACCTCTTGTTTCAATTTTCTGGAGTTCATTTATATGATCAGATGCATATAGGCATTGTGCCTTGGTGGCAAACAGAATTTTGACACTGAAAATTGCATGCAATTCCAATTTTAGTGCCCATAGCCATGCTCATTTGTTAATACATTGTTCAATGGCAACAGAAGCAGAAAATATTTACTGTTTGAACTAGTGCATTAAGCTTGCACCTGTGCTCTTGAATTGTTAGGACCCTTGCACTGTCACCTAGACTTTTCAACTCACAGCTGGTACTCTACCACTTCAGCTATGTCTGGCCCTGTATTTTGCTGGTTAATTGGATGAGTCTCATGATTTTTTTGTCTGGGATGGCTTTGAACCTGGACCCGTAGATCCTAAGACTCCTGAGTAGCTAGGATTACAGATCTGAGCACTAAGCCTTAGTGTTTATCTTGAATTAGTTGCACAGTAGGACTGTCTTAGCCAGACACTGTCAAAGACAGTAAGGAAAACAGGTTTCTCATAATTCAAGAAAGTATTATAAATTATCTCTAAGGTGCTAGGAATTTAACACAGGGCCTTTCCCATGACATTCTTCTACTGCTCTTTTCCTAACAATAAAAAATCTGTTTGCACCCAGACTAGGACCAACTCCATAGGAGAAGTCATTCCACTCTCAGAGGTGCAAAACACTGTCCAAAGGCACTTTGTCCCAACACCAAAACAGTGTATGGAGCAAACCTCAAAACAGCGTTTGTTCTTCCAACAGTGTAACACAATCACAGGCACCACAGTAGTCTGGATAGCTGACAACTGCTGGATTAATCCCCAAATAATTTAGCATTGTTTCAGACACACAGGTATTCCAAATACAAGGCACATATACTCGAATCACTAGTTGGATGTTCTCATGTATTTTCAGTATTTTTTTCTACCATAGAGTTCTTGCACAGGACACTGAGATCTAGCTGTGATCAAAGCAAGACAAATACAACTTGTTAGAGGGAAATAATTATTTCCTGATGGCTATTAACTAGTCAACAGGCCTGGCTCCAACGGGATAGCCAATGTTGGAAAAAAACAGACATTTACCTGACAAGTCGACGTGCATTGTCCACCTGCCAGTGTTTCTCTTTAAAACGGTGAAGATGTGCTCTATTTTCAAGACACCCTAAGGAAAGGAAGAAAATATGGCTTAGTGATCTAGTGATAGTAACAATCTGACAGTCCTTTTAAGGGAAGGCCATCTCATAACAATTGCTGAGGGTATTGGGCAATAGGGACCTATGTACTTTTGTTACCTTTTAATGAATCCAAGTCAGAAAGACAATCTATCCTTAAGTTCCTGGATAGTGTACCAAACATGTTACAAGAAATTGAGGGCAGCTAAGTTTGTAGCTAGCAAAAGAATTTAGGCTAGACAGGAAATTTTATTAGAGGTAAAAAGATAGCATGAGGGGCTGGGAAGGTGGCTCAGTGGTAGAGTGCTTGCCTTGCATGCATGAGGCCCTGGGTTTGATTCCTCAACACCGCATAAGCAGAAAAAGCCAGAAGTGGCGCTGTAGCTCAAGTGGTAGAGTGCTAGCCCTGAGCTGAAGAGCTGAGGGACAGCACCCATGCCCAGAGTTCAGGCCCCACAACTGGCAAAAAATAAAAAATGAAACAAAAAAAGATAGCATGAGTCCATCTCAGCCGTCTTACCCAGTCTTCTTGGTCATGGGTTAAGTAGGAAAAATTAACCCCTTCAAGAGGGCTTTTTGATTGGTAGGTCTCCTTTAAGTTATAAAGTCCAGCGGTAAAGACTGAGTGCTCTGTCCTTATTTCCCATTTCTTTTCTAGCCTCATTTAGTTGTCACATTGGTTCTGGTTTACCACTTTATCCTGGTGTCTGCAAGTTACATAGGCCTCAATTTCCTGACTGCCTGTTTTCCAATAACTAATGATCACTTTTAATGAAAGCAAAATCCCATTAACTTCCTTATTAGGCATCTTTTGTGCTATCTGTAAGCACTAAAAAAAATTAAAGCTTGACTTCTATTAATATACCCCCAGCAGGCTTATTTTTCCTGTATCCAATGTGTAACTCAGGTAATTTTATACTGCCCACACCTGTTAGACCAGAGCAACTCAGGTGTGGATTTTACGTTTCCCACTCAAGCCATGCTCTTGCAGATTTAAACTTAGTGAATAATGAATTATGCTGACATCCTGGTATAGTTAACTACAGAGTTGGCATGAACCAGGCCCAGAATGCCAACCAGCTATTGGCTGCTGTTCTCCCAGCAGTGTAACACTTGCCTAGGTACAATGTTCAACCTAGGCAGCTGCCTACAGCTGGGGCAAAAGAGATAATTAAGTTGTACTCACCTCACATGTGCCTGAATTCCACAGCTGGCTACTCTGAAACCAAAGCACTCTAGGTTAGTCTTGATATCAAAACACACATATGCAACTCACCTCATTCCCCAAGATCTCTTAACTTTGTGAGGCTGGAGACACAGAAACAATAGTGGACAATAGAACAGCTTATCCTAGGTTAGATTTGTTTTCTTATCTTTCTCATAACCTTTGTACCACAGCAGTTCAACAGTGTATCTACAGTCTTGTCAACAATAGAAAAATCTAGCCCTTGCACATACCAGCTGACTCAATAAGTAACTACCTGTCACCTAAGAGATTATGAATAATGCTTTGTACAGTCCTTGGGATATTTAAATAGAACATTGGGATATTTAAATAGAACATAAGATTAAGCCACAGCATATGTGGTATCACGAGCTATAGTCACAGAGACAGATCTGAAAATTTAGGTTTGATGCCATTGTGGGCAGACAAACTCAACACTTAAACTAACCTGCAAAAATCCAGAATTGGAGATGAAGTTTAGATGGTAAGAGCACTAGCTTTAATCAGAAAAAGCTAAGGAACAGCATCCATGCAGAGTTCAAGCCCCACTACTAGCACGAAAAAAAAAAAAAACACCAATCAGAATGTGCAGTTACCCAGGAAGAGTAATAGATGAAGATTAACTAGAAAGGCCAAGGGCTAATAAAAACTGATATAGGGCCAGGCACTGAAAACAAGTGTTACTTAGAGCAGAACTTGGCTGAAACCTGTATTATCCACTCATGAGGTGACAATCCAGTAGGCAGCCTGGGCAAGTTTCAAGGCCTAGGCCTTACTAATGGCTGGATGCAATGGCATACAAGTCATCCCTAGTGACACCAGGAAGCATAAAACGGTAGTCTAGGGTGGCCAGAACATAATACCAGAACCTAACTCAAAAATAGTCAATGGAGGGCTAGGAAGGTGGCTCAGTGGTCAGAGTGCTTCCCTTGCATGCAATAGGCCCTGGGTTTGATTCCTCAGCACTACATAATCAGACAGGAGGTTGCACTGGCACTATGGCTCACATGGTAGAGCACTACCCTTGATTTGAAGAGCCGAGGGACAGTGCCCAGGCCCAGAGTTCAAGCCCCACAACCAAAAACAACAACAAAAATCAATGGAAAAAGGGGTCTAAGGCAGTATAGTGTATGCCTAGGCAATCAGGAAACCCCAAGTTAGATTGGATCTCCATTTACTGCCATAAGCAGATCCCACCATTCACAATGTTGAATGAATAGACCCCAAGACTGGTGCCACAATTCAACTACACTTCCAGTTTCCCCCTCTTGCTGGTTAACTGAACACTTAAAATACTGGACTTCTTTGTTGCAAATAGCTTGCTACTGGTTCCTTGGAGAACTGAAAGGGACTAGTGGTAGTTATGTTTCCAAGACCTCCACTACTGATTTTTTTTTTTGGGTCCCTCGTGGGGCCTGAACTCTGGGCCTGGGCACTGTCCCTCAGCTCTTCAGCTCAAGGCTAGTGCTCTACCACTTGAGCCACAGCGCCATTTCAAGCTTTTTTTCTTTTTGCTTATGTGGTGCTGGGGAATCGAACCCAGGGCCTCATGCATGCAAGGCAAGCGCTCTACCACTGAGCCACCTTCCCAGCCCCTTCGCTACTGATTTAAAAGTAATAATCAACACGTCTTCAAAAATGTTCATGCCAGGCGATGGTGGCTCACGCCCGTAACCCTAGCTACTCAGGAGGCTGAGATCTGAGGACTGTAGTTCAGAACTAGCCCTGGCACGAAAGCCGGTCAGACTCCACATGGCCACCAGAAAACCGGAAGTGGCGCTGTGGCTCAAGTGGTAGGGCGCTTGCCTTTGAGCTGAAGAATTCAGGAACAGGGCCTGTAATCATAGCTACTTGGTAGGCTTAGAGTATTTTGGTTCAAAGCCAGCCCGAGCAGTAAAGTATGTGACTACCTTCAGTTAACTGCTAAAAAAGCAGTTGAAGCTGTGATTAAAGTGGTATTTCACTATCCTTGAGAAAAAAAACTCAAGGACACCACCCAGGCCTGGTCAAAGACCAGGCCGGCACCAAAAGAAAAACTATTTCTACACGCTCACCATGATTAATCCCGTTCATCTAAGCCCATACTTTTTTTTTCTGGCCATTTTGCAACTAATCTCATCCAGATAACATTTTTTAAAAGTATTTTTGTGATATGTGCGTTTTGAATGCAGGGCCAGAGCGCTGTCCCTGAGCTCTTCTGTTCAAGGCTAGTGCTGTACCACTTTGAGCCACAGCTACACTTCCAGTTTTCTTGTGGTTAATTGATGAGTCTCACGAACTTTCCTGCCCCGGCTGGCTTTGAACCGCGATCCTTAGATCTCAGCCTCCTGAGTAGGATTACAGGCGCGAGCTACCAGCGCCTGGTACATCAAGTTAGTGTAAATGAATAGGAAAAAAAATGAGTTGGGGTTAACCGGTCAGGCCTAAAAACCGAGTGTAAAACTGGCCTGCCCCTTTCAGGACCAGTTCCGCCCAAACACGTGGATCTCACAAACCTTCCCAAATCTCTGCCCGCGGCTCCTGGAGCAGCTTTCGAGATTGGCGTGAGTCTCGCTGGGTGAATTTCCAGTAAGAACCCAGTAGAACCCAAGAGGCGACATTGGGATTTGTTTCCCAGCCTCTCTACAAGATGCCTTCCAAGCCAGTCGTCCCCAGGAAACTAACCCTAATTTCGCCCTGCAGAAGCCCTCCCACTCCTTTTCGACCGTAGCTGGTAAACCTACTAGGCTTCTTCCTCACAATCTAGCCCACACTCACCCGCACACGTACGGAGCACCGCAAGACGCAACCACCACGTTACAGGCCAGAGGCGAAAGGGCAGCAGGAAGCTGATAGGAGCCCCGCCCCGGAGCGCGGGGCAGGACTTTTGGGCGGGGTTTCTCGCCCGGGAGAGGCCGGGTTTAATGAAAAGCCAGGAAAGTGGTGGACTGGAGCTGTGGATCGGAGCTACGTCTTGGATATTGGGAAAGGGCTGGAGTTTAAACAACTGCTACATTTGGTGGGCAGATTTACATTCCATTTCTTATGTAAAAGGAGCGCTGCTCTTGTTACTACTAAAAAGAGAACGTCCTTTGTGGTGGTAGGAACCGACCGAATGCCTGCTTTTAATGTGCCTTAGTGGCGGGTTTTTTTGCATACGTGTAGTGTCTTTTGGTAGCTTTAAATCTAGCCCACGCTTTTGCAGATCCCACGCAGATCCTCCTCCTGCTGTTCTGCGACACTGTGAGCTCACTTGGACAATGTATCTCCCACCCACACAGGTACATACTACAGGTCACCTTGGTCCAGTCTCCAGAAGGCTTTCTGGCCAATCTGTCCTATCACTTATCCCTGCAGTATTCCTGATGTCCACTGTGGAATTCTTAGCTGACTTGCAGCGGCTAAAAAATAACTGATTTTGACAAGTTTTTGCTGCTCTTATGCCAATGAGGCCATATCCTTCGTCTGAACAGACACTGCTCCACATTATGAGGATTTCTTCTGAATGCTGACAGTTTTGTCACTGGTTGAGTCATGATTCTGTCCAGCTAAACGGATGGTATTGCTGGAGAACAACAGGCTAGTCTTACCAACAGTAATTTCTAAGTCCATTTTGCAATTCCCTAAATTGTAGAGCTTCTCTCTTTCCCATATCCCTTGTTTAGAAGTTTAGAGGCCCTGCTGAGATGCTGTGCCTGGCACGATAGCCAGGCAAACCTTTGGAAAGCATCCACTGCCCTTGACATTTGACAATATCCTTTACTATCTACCTTCTTTGCTCTTTTATAATGGAAAAAAAGAGTGGTGCTTCTTGTGCACCCTGACCCTATTATAACCTCCTTTAAAAAAAAATAGCTCAAAGCCCCCAATGGATTAATGGATTTCCAACAAGAGACCCTAGGCTATAGAGCCAAAGAACCACTGGAAAAATGACAAACATCAGTCCTCCCCAGTTTTAATGGAGTTGGTGGGGCTAGGGCTTACATAAGTACAGTAATTTATAAAGTCACATGGTTAGTGTTGGCTTTATAGGCAGGAGCTCTGTTTTGCAGTTAAATAAAATGTGGCTGAAGACTGCTGCCTTAATCAAAGCAGCATCCGCCTGTCACAGTGTATTCATAAAGGAGGGTTATGAGAACTATAAAACCAGCAGATTGGGTGGGTAATTGTCCTACAAAGCTCTGCCAAAGGAGAAGTTACATTGACATCTCATATATTTTGCTATCTTGCCTTCCAAACCCACAAAGTGGAAAAAGCAGAGCAACCCTTAGGTTCATGAAAAGATGAGAGGTGTGTGTGTGAGAGAGAGATAGAGAGAAAGAAAGACAGAAACAGAAGAAAGGAGAGGAGAAAGTGGCTGAGCACAGAGAGGAGTGTTTTTGGAGACAAAGGGATCTATAACCTTATAATGATTGGATTCACAAATTATTTGAGGTACAAGGCAATATTTATGTAGGGAATTAGGTGCTGCTGGCTAACGCCTGTAATCTAGCTAATTCCAGACTGAGTTCAAGCCCTAGGATCAGCACACACAAAAAACTGGTCACTGGCTGCTGGTGGCTCACACCTGTACTCCTAGCTACTCAGGAGGCTAAGATCCGAGGATCGCAGTTCAAAGCCAGACTGCACAGGAAAGTCTGTGAGACTCTTATCTTCAATTCACCACTGGAAAACTGGAGGTGGCACTGTGGCTCAAGTGGTAGAGCACTCACTTTGAGCTGAAGAGCTCAAGGACAGGGCCCAGGACCAGAGTTCAAACAATAGGACCAATAAGGGAGGGTGGGGGATGGGGACCGTGGTCACTAATTTTAAGTATAGGCCAGTCAGTATCCCGTGGAGGAGATTCAGATGATAATTTCTTCTTTTCTGAGTTAAAAAATATTTTTTTTTAAATTTTATTTTATTTTATTTGAGAACATACTGTACAGAGGGGTTACAATTACATGGGCAGGATAATGCATACATTTCTTACCAAGCATTGCAGCCTCCTAAAAAATATTTTCTAAATACTTCTAAATTCTGAATTGATGGTAGTAGATTAATTTTTGTGTTCTTTTACCATTAATATCAACTTTTTTTCTATAGTTATGTTTCTACACCAACAAATACAAAATTGTGGAAGTAGCAACAAAAATAATAGTGGAGGTTGTGAAAAGAAAACAAAACAACCTACAGGTGGATGGAAGGCAAAGGATGAGGGGAAGCCCATTTGCTTGGAGTCTGACCTCATAACCAGAAGTCTTGTCTCTCTTCCACCTGTCCTCTCCTCGCTTCTCTCCTTGATGTCTTTTGCCCTTGAGTCCAAAAAGAACACACACACACCACCACCACCACCTAGGCCACTATTGTTTGATTCCATTTGTGTGTCCTGTGGCTTGAATGTAATTTGTTGTTAAGATGCTCATGAGAGCACTGCCCTCTGAAGAAATTAATATAGTTCTCCTGGGACTGCAGTTCATTCCTTTGAGTAGGTTTTCAAAAAGAACAAGACAGTCTGCTCCCTGGCTTCCTCTCTCACCGTATGCTCTCTCTCTTACACGTTACCACCATGATAATGTCATCTACCATGTTGGGACACAGCCACGGGATCATGTGAGTCAAATAAATCTCTTTTCTTTATAGTACCAGACACATATATTTTGGCATAGTGACAGAAAATGGACTAAGGATATGAAAGTTCAGATAGGGATATCTATAGAGACAAAAAGTATATTACAGGGGGCTGGGAAGGTGGCTCAGTGGTAGAGCGCTTGCCTTGCATGCATGAGGCCCTGGGTTTGATTCCTCAGCACCACATAAAACAAAAAAAGAAAAAAAGCCGGAAGTGGCAGTGGCACTGTGGCTCAAGAGGTAGAATGCTAGCCTTGAGCTGAAGAGCTGAGGACAGCGCCCAGGCCCAGAGTTCAGGCCCCACGACCGGACCCAAAAAAAAAAAAAGTAGATTAGAGTTTGCTTAGGGCTGAAAGGGGGACAAAATGATAGTTAAAGAGCTTAGAATTTCTTCTTGGGGAGATGAAAGTGTTCTAGAATATTTGTAAATATATTAACAATCACTGAATTATATTCCTTTTTTTTTTTTTGATTCGTTGTGGGGCTTGAACTCTGGGTCTGGGCACTATCCCTTGGCTCTTCAGCTCAAGGCAAGCACTCTACCTTTGAGCCACAGCAGCACTTCTGGTTTTCTAGTGGTTTATTGGAGATTAGAGTCTCACAGACTTTCCTGCCCAGGCTGGCTTTGAACCGCGATTCTCAGATCTCAGCCTCCTGAGTAGCTAGTATTGCGCCCAGCTTGAATTATATTCTTTAACTGGGTAAACTGTATGGTGTATGGAGTATGCCTCAATAAAGCTGTTAAAACAACAGCATGAAAAGCATACCTGGAGACCTGAAAATTCAGTAGTTCTACCCATAATTGTGGGATATATAGTCATTTCAGGGCCAGAAAGAGCTTTTAATTTTTATTAATTTTTTTTTGTTATACAAGTGATATGCAGAAGGGTTACATTTACATATATCAGATAATAAGTACATTTCCTTTCATACACTGTCATCTTTTCCCTCATTCTCGCCCATTCCCTTCCTTTTTAAAATTTTAAAATTTAAAATTTTTTTTTCTTGCTAAGCCTGGGGCTTTAACTCAAGGACTGGGCCCTGTCCCTAAACTTCTCTTTGCTCAAGACTAGAGTTCTACCACTTGAGCCCCAGCTTTACTTAGGATTTTGGTGATTAATTGGAGATAAGAGTCTCTTGGACTTTCATGCCTGGGGTGAATTTCAATGATGATTCTCAGATCTCACCCTCTTTTTTTTTTTGGCCAAGTAGAGAATTATTATTATTATTATTTTTTTTTTGGTCAGTCGTGGGGCTTGAACTCTGGGTCTGGGCGCTGTCCCTCAGCTCTTCAGCTCAAGGCGAGCGCTCTACCACTTGAGCTACAGCGCCACTTCCGGTTTTCTGGTGGTTTATTTGAGATAGGAGTCTCATGGTCTCTCCTGCCCGGGCTGGCTTTGAACCGTGATCCTCAGATCTCAGCCTCCTGAGTAGCTAGGATTACAGGCGTGAGCCACCAGCGCCCGGCCAAGTAGAGAATTTTTGTTATTGCTTCTGGTGGGATAGCTAAATTTGTTAGATCTTACCCTCTTGCTAGGAATTCAGTCATGAGCTACCAGTGTCTGCGTAGAAAGGACTTTTTATACTAGATTCAGTGGCTTCTCAGAGCTCTTGCCTGACTTTTAGGGCCAGCAGTTCAAACAGAAGCAAAGAGGTATGCTACATTCCCATGCTTCCTAATAAGGACTTAATTCAACATCTATAGTTACCTACAAGGCAGAAGGCATTGGCCCCTGAAAGAACCAGAGTCTCTGTATTCCCTCTGTGTTAAAAATTAATTTTGATAATAACCTCTGCATAAACAAATATAGCTCTTTAGATGAAAGACTATTAGATAAAAAGAATAGTCGCAAGGCAGCCTGGGATTCTGAGCTCTCTCTATTGCATATAGGGAAACATAATGACGTCAGCAAAACAAGACCAATTCCTAGTCCTTGGAGTTGAGCAAGTTCCAGGACTTGGCTTCTTCCTCACATGCCTCCAATCACCCCTTCATTTGGTTGCTAGACTCAATTTGTTAGTCTATTTTCATACTCCTCATTTTCTCACTACCCTCACCCCCACAATGTCCAAATTGGCCCTCCAATACTGAAACCATTTGCCGGAAATTCATTAAACTGAACACATGGGAAATTACAGAGGAGATTTCACTTGTCACTTAGGCTCAAATTTAGAAAGTAATTTTAAAAGGACAGTGCTGGGAGACTATTTTTATCTTGCTTGTTTGTGCTGACTTTTCTTATCTTGCT